CTTCTTCATCTGCCCAACTGTGTAAATGATCTGATTACAGTGTACTTAAACGTCTGAAGTCTAATGTATTTTAGTGATGTCATATAATGATTCATTTTCCTATGTTCATTTGTTTTAAGAATTATATGATCGTGCCAAACCTCAAGAACTTTGAGCATCAAGAGAAAATCATATGAAGATGGTAAGAATGTGAGAAATGCCAAGTTTTTCCACATTGAGAAAATTTGTTCCTTTTTCCTGATAAGAGACGTCCTTGACAAATAGACTAAATATACTGTTTATAAACTGTGTGAGAACAGAAAATGCTGAGAAATATTTCTTGTAGTTCATTAGGTGTGGAAATAAAAGTAAATGCAAACTTTCCCAGAGCCAGAAATTTTTACACAACTATGCATTTCTCATGAGTCTTCAAATTATACTTTATACTATGATTGCTATCAAGGAACTAGGGTATTAAAGGAAAAAGCTCCCACAAACTATTATGTTTTGAATTTTTGTTTTCTCCAAAAATAGTTAGCAATGGTTGTGCTATTGTATTTCAGTAATTTTACAAATAAGTCAAACTCAGAAACCAATCTAACTATGTGAGCTGTAATTCCAAACTGATCATTACAGATAACTTGAAAAGTGCCATTATTATAGAACAGCATACAGAAGAAGAAAAACACAATTAAGAAGTAGTAGCACAGGATGGACAATTAGAAAACCTGGGTTCTAGCCTGTCTGAACATAGTAACTCAAACAGTAACTCTGTCATAATTCAGCTTTAGCATTTTACATACTTAAGACTTACTGAATTGTTTTAAAGAGCTCACATTTTATAACACATCCATGTAACTATTGCTCAAATCAAAATATGAAACATGAGCAGCATCCTAGAAGCCTTTCATTCATTAATTCTCCTCCTCATCCTAAAGTTACTATTCTGACCTTTATCACCAGATTAGATTTGGAATTATATCAGGATGTACTTTTTTGTTAGTATTTTTCAATGTCAAGCTTCTCTCTTTCAACAATGTTTATAAGATTCATCAGAACTTGCAGCAGGAGTTTGTTCTTTATTTTTGTAGAATATTTTACTATAGGAATATATCCCACTGCCTTTTTTATTCATTTCACTGTGAGACAGTCAATGTTTCCAGACTGTAGTTATAACAATGCTACTGTAAAAATTCTTGTGCATGTCTCCCAGTAAATCTATTTATACATTTCTGTCCAGTATTTACAAGAGGAAAGGTGAGTACATATCCAGGCACTGTTCCAAACATTTTACATATATAAAATGTAATTCCTACCACAGTTCTCTGAAGTATTTACAAAGGGGAAATGGAGGCACAGAGAAGTCAATCTTTTGAACACTGCTTCTCAGGGCAAGGATCACATTTGCCCTGTGTGGTATAGTATTCCTAATATCTATCACAGTGCCTTGCATATACACAGAAGGAGCTCAGCAAAATAGTTTCTGAATAAAATATTAGAGAATAGCAAGAATTTACTCTTTCATCTCCCCTTCCCCTAACAGCCCTTTATCGCTTGAGTTCAAAATTTTATTTTCAATTTTTGGACATAAATTCTGAGTCTGATGAAACGCCCCAGTTTTGCCTTTTCTTAATAAACCTCTAGTGGCTAGACTATTGAAAAGGGAGGCTGCTAAAGGCTAATCCAACAGAAATCATTCCCACCCCACTGAGTGTTTACACTGGACCTTAAATATGTTAGTCTAGCCCAACAGATAAGAAAAAAGACACAGAAGCAGGTAAACTTGCCCAAGGACAAACTGACATGACTGGAAAACTTGGAACTAGATTTCAAGTCTTACATTAAGGACCTGGTCCCAGAATAACACAGACGTAGTACTAAGGGACTCTTGCAGAGAAATTCTGCTTCAGACTAATGCAAAGTTCTAAATAATAGTTCTAACTGCATTATCGAAAAACGCTTATGATTTAAAACTGAGACCCATTAAATTACAAAAGTAACTGAATTGAAAGTCTTTCAAAATCAAAAACTGAACAATTAATATAGACAGTTTTAAAAGAATTCACTTCCCCAACAAATGAGCTGTAAAACACTAAAGGCATGTGACACACTGGTCATGAAAACTAGGAAATGAAAATCAGAATAAAGTTATCCTGAGTCTTAATTTGGCACCTCAAAGCAGATTCTCTGACAACCTACTTCTTGTTCTCCTACTAAGTAAATGAAGATAGTTGGTAACTAATTCTGAGAGGTCTGAGTGCCTCTGTTTCTCACAGGGGCCTTTCTAGTGATAATGTTGTATACTCCGTAGAACCAGTGACTTTATCTCCTAAGAAAACTGCTCATGAGATCATGGAAAACCTGAGTCCTCAAAGTATATCAGAACCAAGAGTCTACAGAAGATTTCTGCAAACAGGAGACTCCCTACATGACTAACCTTCATCAGGTAAATCTAACTTTTTATAGAGGTGTGAAAATGTTTATCAATTGTGTAGTTCAATTCCTAACCCAGAGAATTCCTGAAGGGAAGGGCGTTTTCATCTCCTAACTGACCAAGAAAGGCCAACTAGTTGACTGATGGGAAAAATCTATGAAACCAACAATTCCTTTTATGGGATCTTCAAATATGTCCAGATCATTCTAGTCTCCATAAAATGTGACTGTGGTTTACAGACGAGGATTTTTAATCAAAAGGGGCTGTGTGTGTGGTTTGTCTAGAACTCTGCAGATGACTGAGCAGATGTTTTCAGGACCAAAAAAAAGCATTTGATTGTATGAATACGGCATGAACATACATACATATAGCCCACACTACAAGAGGACAAGTTAAACATTGAAAATATTAAAACTAAAATTCCTGATGAACAAGCAGAGTAATGAATAAATTTGCAAACAGCCACAACAACTACTAAAAAGAAGTACTTCTAGATGAACCCATTGGGATTTACTGGTTTTGACAGTCCAGTAATCCATACTCCATTTGCTTTTTATTTGAAATACACAATACTATAACTTTGAGGCATTGTTATCCTAGACACTAAAATTTCTAGGTCAGATTATGCCTAAAACAAAAAGAACTAAATAGATGCATAAGTGATGGAAATCTCATCTTCTAGATTCCATATTTTAAGATAATGTATCTTAATAATGTATCTTTTCCTAGTAAGTTATTCCTAGTAAAAGGAATTTATAGGAGGTACAGCTTCTGCAACAGACCACTATTTGCCAGTGTATAGTATACATAACTAACTACAGTATTTTAAGCTGTGACAATCTATGCTCCTAGTTTTGCTATTCCTTGATTCAGTGCCATACAAAAATATTAGTTCTTATTCTTTGATCCCTATCTTCCAGTTTAGAGTACCAGAAATTGTATCTTCTAGACATAAAGGTGTTTCACTGTTCTTTCAATGAAAATCAGCTCCCTTGAAGAATGAGGTCTTCTAACTGAAATTGTGAACTGGATAAGACATAGGCAAGAAACAACTATCTCAATCATTCTCTCAATAAATAAGTCTATGCCTACACAATGAAAAGTTCAAATAGTTTTCCATTAGCATATCTACTCCTCAGAAGCTATAGAGTTTCTTGCCACTGTTGGTGAAATACTACATCAATTTCAAACATGAAAGTTTAAAAAAGGCAAGTTTGGCCAAAATGAGCAGCTTAACAGGATCAATTTAGTACTGCTCTATTATTATATAAACCCATCTTTACTGCCCTTATCTAATCTCCTAGTTCTTTAACAGAAAAGCAAATGTAGAAATGTTTGCTAAGAAATGTAACTAAGAATCAAGTTGTATTATTAAAAAGAAAGAAAAATCAGCCCCCTTTCCTTCACACACCTTTTAAAACAGAGATTGGGGGTGAACATTCAGTTATTTTAGCTAACAAGTAAACAGAGTTAAAAATAAAAAAATCAAAGTCTATTCCTATATTTCCCACATACCACTATACTTTCAGTTTCTACATACCTCTCCTTAGAATCCAAAATAACTCGGCTATTACCTATAAACTTATATTGCTTTGGAATACCATATAAATCTGTGTTTTTCCTCAGATTATGCATCTAAATCTATTTTTAAAAAAGATCTTGATTATGGTCAGTTCACAATAAGCCAAAATTAGTTATTCAAGTTTAAAATATTCTTTTTGATTCATCCCAGATTCTATGATACACTCAGCATTGAGTGTACAAACAAGGAGTACACAAGATGAGAAACTCACACTGAAGTATTTGGAACTCTGAAAGGGTAACATATTTGGTGAGGGCAAGTTCATCATTATGAGTGCATTTAAAATATTTGTCAGTTGTAGGATTCAATTCCTAACCCAGAGAAATGATAATTCACTAAAGGTAAAGTGCTTTGTTGCAGTCATACTACTGATAAGGAACTTCACAGTAACACTTGACTGTTCTAGAAGTTGTTGCTCTGGCATTGCCTGATGGAGATGGAACCTTTGTAATGCTTTCAGTGAAGTGATAATGTCAGGCCTAGGTTTATATTTCTTAACCAAGTGGAATTGTTCTTATCACTTCCAAACAGTTGGTAGTAAAGTAGTCAGGTACTACTACATATCCTGGACCAGCAGCCACCCCGCATCAGTTTATCTCAAGAGAAGCCCTGGACTTTGGGAAATTAAAACCAGCAACCAATCGGGGAGGATCTTCTCTACTCCGATAGCCAAGCGAATCCAACCTAAAAAACTGGAGAGACTCGTGAGGAGTGAACAAACCTTAGAAGGGGGAGATGCCCGAGTGAGCACGACGAGTTGGGGTGGGGGGGGTGGTCGAGGGGGCCCGGGAGGGAACATGCTAAATAAATCCCAGGACGCACGGAAGCTCCCGCGCACGCCTGGGTCACCTGGATGCTGCCCCAGGCGGCTTACCTTGGACTAGGTAGGACAGATCCGGCCTCACCGCCCTCAAGCGTGCACGTGATCTCCGATTCAGGCCGCGGGAACTGTTTATACAGAGAAGCACACGCGCCGCCACCCCCACCCCTCACCCTGTTGCTCACCGGTGCTGCAGCCCCACGAGTCCCAGAGTGATCACATGCGGCACATCGAGCTGCGTGGGCCACTCTCCCGAGGCGATGCACCCGAACACGCCACATTCCTCTCGGATCCCCAACTCCTCCAGCTCCATGTCGTGCCGGAAACACGTGCAGGGACCTGAGGCAGCTGCAGGGGCCTCAGCACCAACCAGTTGCACGATCGGCCCTCACGCCTCAGACGCTCGCGCCCGCGACAGCCGCTTCCTCCCGGGCCCCTCGACCCTCGCTACTGCGGCGGCGCGCGCTCACCCTAAGCGGGCGTGATTAGTTGCCCACCCCGCCAACCCCTCTACTTTCCCCGCCTCCTTCGGGGGCCGGCCTTGAGCGAGGGTATGGGGCGGAGCCCGCCACCGGAGCATGCGGGCTGACAATCTTACTGCGCCTGAACGTCCCGTTATATTCCAGCACCTGAGAGAGGGGTGATGAGGCCAGCGCGGTCAACGTCATTTCAGCGCCCACAGATGTGAACTTAATTTACCCCTCCCCGCCAGCTTTCCCCGGCCCGTCACTACTTGGTACCGTCCAACCTAAGACCCTCATTGGCCGTCCAGAGGGGCGAGGCGGGACCACCAGTGCGCGCCTTTTTTGCTGTCGCCTGGAGACTACGTCTGGCGGGGGGCGTCACTACGTGCCCGCGGGGGGCGTCACTGAGTCTGCGCGGAGGCGACGCTGCGCCTGCGCGGCGGGAATTCTGGGCGCCGCGGGGGTGCTTGGTGCGGTGCGGCGGCCTCTCTGGTGCGGCGGCCTCTCTGGTGCGGCGGCCTCGTCCTCCAACCCGAGCGCTTCTCTGACCACCCGTCTTTTCCAGGGTCCGGTCTCTCTGCCGAGCCCAGCCGCGGCGCCTGGCGCGCTTGGCCGCATGGCGGCTGCTGAGGGTGAGTAACGCGTCTCCGCGGCCCCCGCCCGGGCCTCCGGGCGCTCTGCCGCCTTTCAACCCGCCCCCAAGGCGCGTGGAACTCGCGGGCCTAGCGTGGGTGCTGCGCGCGCTGCTTCCTGCCGGGGCGACCTCCCCGAGGCCCAGCTGCTAGGCCGCTGCTGATGAAGAGCACGTGGCCCCGGAGTGCAGTCGTGCCTCGGGAATGCTCTCCCCTGCCTCTCCGAACTTTCTCAAACACCCAGTTGTGCCCTCGGGTTGGGGAAAAGGAGCAAGGCAGTGGAAGCGGGTCATTAGAGAGGCGCCTGGGGATCGCATTTGGCAGTAGGTGCTGCAAAAGCAGTCTCCAGTACCCACTGTTAACCGCGTTAGGTCAATAATAACCTCCTGCTGCAGAACGTTAATAATTACATCTTCTGAAAGACTTGTTTTCTGCCGAGAGAGTGTGTGTGTGATGACTTTGGAGCGCTCCAGCCCCGGGGGAGGGGGGAGAGGGAGGGGGAGAGAGAGTTGGTTTTAAACTCATTTGATAGCATTTCTTATATTTACATAATCATCTTATCCTCAGGAATAATTGTGCTGATAAAATGTTTTACTTCACACAAATACAGTGAGCCAAATTACTTGTATTGACTGGGTCAGACCATTCTCTTCTACACAGGAAAATTGAAGTTAGGTTTAAAAAAATTGTAGGGTAAACAAACAGATCCAGATAATAAGGAATAACAATTTATATAACATCTAGGACTGAGATAAGAATTTTGCATCATACCTCTAAAGTGATAGTTTCTGAAATCTTTACCATTGTACTTCCTTTCATTTCCTGTATTCTTGGCAGGTTTATATCCCTAAAATGTTTCTGGATAACACTTATTTGCCCGGAGATCTTCTGTGTCAACCTTGGAGCTGATAATCCACCCTGAAGACACTTCATTCACATCATGCTTCTTTCCTACCATTAAATCCTAACTGATTTTTTTTTAAGGTGAATCCTATCAATATCAGCCAGGTTAATTCACCAAGTTTTCTGTGTTTGTTATACTGTTTCTTCTAAAATACTGCTGTCTAATAGAAATATAATGTGAAACTATATGTAACTTTCCTTGTAGCCACATTTTTAAAGAAGTGAAAAGAAATAGGTGAAGTGAATTTTAATATATTTTTAAACCCAAGATGTACCAAGACTATAATTTTATCATGCAGTCAGTATAAAAATTATGAATGGCATCATTTTAAATATTGAAATCTAGTGTATAATGTACACACAAAATGTAACTCACATCTCAACTTGGAGTAGACATTTCAAGAGTGTCCAGTGGCTACTTTAATACACAGCACAATCCTAGAATGGTCTTACCCTTTTCTAAAGTTCTATACTTTTAAAGGCTTTTTTACATTTCATTTCCATAAATTATTTTCAGCCTGCATCAGTCTCTTCAGAATTTATGGATTTGTAGCAAGCATAACTAGCCAATGAACTTAAGTCCACATTTCATTGCTCTTAACCAGCTCTTTAGACAATAAAAGCGAACTCACTCACCCAATATAATATAAACCCCCTTTCCTGATAAGATTTGAGTTTTCTCTCCTATAGCCTTGCTTGTCAGCTTAGAATAAATTCTCAAAACTTGTTATAATCAGCTCATTGGGTATGAGTTAGGCAGCACTTGTCTAAGTTGGTTGTTTCTTATGTTACTATTACTTGTTAATTCCTATCCTGTTCACCTATTAGATAGTAAATATTGATTTGGCTACATTGGGAGGGAGGGGTAGTAGACACTTCTCTTAGACTTTACTACCCATGGGACTTTTTAAACATTTTTAAAGATTTAGCTAACCTAGGCAATATCTTAACTACTCTCCTCTTTCTTTCATCTCCCATATTCATTTCTTTTTTTTATTTTTAATTTTTTTTTAATATATATAGAGGCATGTTTGTTTTATTTATTTGTTTGTTTTGTTTATACATGCACTGGGTACAGTCAGAAGCACTGGAGGGTGAGAGAATTCACCAGAGCCAGAGTGGGGTGCAGAGCAGGCAGAAGGACCGAAGTACACTGCTGAGGGGAGCAGCGGGCGGCAGGAGAGGTCTGCACGCCTTGTGGGGCCTTCCTCTGGTGGCTGAAGAGCAGCCGGGCATCGAACCAGCGCCGCAGAGGCTGCGAGCAGCTTCACAACCCAGTGCTGAACCGCTGCGCCACCGGGGAGGCCACATGTTCATTTCTTAATGGAATGTTTTAATTATCTTAGGTCTTCTTAACCTTAGAACAGAACTTTTTTTTGCGTGGATTACTGCAACAACATCCTAACTTGTCTCTCAACCTCCAGTTTTCTTCCATCCACTCCTCATTCTCTATGCAGCATCCAGGATGATCTTTTTAATATTAAAAAAACCATCATTTTACTAAAATGTTTGAAAGTTCATGATTGCTCTTAGGATAATGCATAAGCTCAATTGATAGGGCTTATGAGGCCTGAAGGGTGAGTAATATATTGGAAGGGGAGTAGTGAAGAACATGTCAGAAGCCTGGGAAGGGGATGTGGAAGTTCAGGAAAGGAAGTTGGAGCTGTAGTAAAGGAATAGAGAAATCTGCATTCAGAGCACTAAGCTCTCTTGAAGGAGCTTTTAAAAACCTTTTCTGCAAGTTAGAATTTTCCGTTAGGAGAATGGGGATTCATGTCTCAAAATTAGATGCCCTGCTGCAGCAACTATTAAACTTAATTGCAAGTAGTTTAATGGTTACCTTCACTGGTTGTTGATCTGACCCATGCTGATTGGACCCATGCTGAACTCTTCTGCCATACACTTTTTCACCCTGTGGTCTTTATTCACTACCACTGCCTACCTGTTGTCATCTTCTGGCTAAATTTAGTCATTCCTCACATCTCAGACTAATTAATTACTTAGTTCTAGACTTAACTTTCTGATGCCAAGACCCGGCACTAGGTCACATTTCCTGACATAGCCCCAGAACCTGGTAGATAAACACTTAGAAAATTCTAATATTGAGAATGAATCAGTGTTCTGAGAACATAAAGAGTGATTTCTACCCTTAGAAATTTTAAGTCTTTAGACTTCTATTTAGACTGCTGATCTTATCTAGAGTATACTTTTCTTTAGGTCTTAATGACCTGTATCAAGATTGGATTCTGTTGTCCTCAGAGTTTCCTACAACTCTTAGTGGAGAGAGGATTAGGGTGGAGGAATTAGAAGCAGGCTTAGGAAATGAGAGGTGCTTCCAAAGGGCTAACTTAAGTGGGTGGAGATGCCTCTTTCACAGCAGGTGTAAATCACTTGCAGGAAATCAAGAAACCAGGGCCTCCCTGGTGGCACAAGGGGTTAAGACACAACCTATGAAGGTATCTGCAGCCACTGCAGCACGAGTTCAATTCCCCAGCTGGCCAGGGAGGTAACCCACATGGAGCAGCAGACCTCTCCTGTCTTACCGGCTGCTCCCCTCAGCAGAGTATTTCAGTCAATCCACCTGTTCTGTTCCCCACTCTGTCTCTGGTGAATCCTCTCACCACCACCCCCACTTCTGGCCTGTAACCCAGTTCTTGTATACATAAATCTTTAAAAAAGAAATCAAGAAACCAGTGTGGTGGTTGAAATTTCTCATTTTGCCTGTCACAGAAAACAAAAGTTGGAAAAATACAGCATTTTTTTCCTCCTGCAAGTTAATTGAATTATTCTGTTCTACCTTGTATATAACACAAACTGTGTTAAAAAAAAAAAATGTACATTATGAAGCATAGAATTGATATCAAAATACTTAGGACTTTGGCTCTGCCATTTCCTCACTGCATGATCACCTTTTTGACACTTAGTTCTTAATCTCTATATAATTATCTACTTATAATTCTTCCCAAAGCTGTGTGAATTGAATGTGATAATGTGTGAGAAAATACTTTGTTTACTGTAAGGTTTTATATAGATAAATTTCTACTTAATCTCTGTGTTCATTGATTTATCATTGAAGATGATTCAGGAAATTTCGGTATTCCTGAAATCTGATGTTTCCATTTTATTTCCACAGTGCTGAATATTGGTAAAAAACTCTATGAGGGTAAGACAAAGGAAGTCTATGAATTGCTAGACAGCCCAGGAAAGGTTCTTCTGCAATCCAAGGACCAAATTACAGCAGGAAATGCAGCCAGAAAAAATCACCTGGAAGGAAAAGCTGCAATCTCAAATAAAATTACCAGTTGTATTTTTCAACTGTTGCAAGAAGCAGGTAAGTGGCTTTCCACATATCTTCCTACGTATTCTCTTTCACACACAAATAATGGTCCTTTTCATGGCAGATGACATTAAGATTAATAATGTATTGATTATTAGTTTCATTTTTTTAGTTATTATAGGAAGCAGGCAAGTGGCTCCCACCCACCCTCCTGTTCTGTTTCACTCACACATACACTCTAATCTTTTTCATGGGGAGATGACTTTATTTAGATTAACAACATGCTATTTGAGTGTGTCTCACAAAATTAGCACTTACATTAAACCAGGAACTCTTCAACTTTACTGTAAAACTTGGGAGTTGGTAATAGTATTCAGTTTGTTAAAATATCTTTCCTGCAATTTCTTTCTCCTAGGAACGTTCCAACAAGCAAAGCCATTCTAGTATTAGGCAGCTTAAAATGATGAACTGAAATTTTCTCCCTGTAATTCAGCACAGTTACTCGTTGCTCTGGTTCTCAGAGATACTCATTTT